CTAAATTGAAATCAATTAATTAGTTTGGGACCAAATTGAGACCAAAAATTAATGAGAGACTAAATTGAAACAAAAAAAGATTATAAAGGACCAAAATAAGTTTTTAACCTTTGCAATAAAGGAGAATTAAAACTAACAAAATATACGCCAAATTAAATATTCTAATTGAGGAAATAATCTCAAGAATTATGCATGAGAGCATAACCCGTATATCATATCCCATATTACACTCACATATTAGTTATTATATGAAAAAATCTTAACCTTTTGTCTCTATATGTGAAATTAACATTACATTTCCATCCCCACCGTGTGGTTCCGTTATAACGATGTTACACAAATGTTCATGTATGTAACAAAATTTGAATCATCAAATAAATCTTGTGCTGTACTTCCTATAAGAAATCAACATTTCATTTAGTCCATGTATGAAATTAACATTTCTACTGTATGGTGTTTACTACTGACTTAGAATAATAACACTGTTGAAGAATAATTAACTAAGTTAAGAAATTCTTGTTCGTCATTTTTTTTGTCTATTTGCCTATTTTTAAGCATTGTTATTGTTCAGTTCATGCAAAAAAGATTTTTAACCTATTAGATAAATATGTGGACCCTCTGATTTACTTTGAAGCAATTATGATTGAAGTCTCCTATTAAAGTGACCAAACATGTGAAGCCCTCCAATTTTTCTTTTGAAAGTGAGAATAGTACCTTCAAGAACAAATAAATAATAATTTGATCCATCTTAAAAATGAGTTTCTATGTATTTTGATAAAGTCGTATAAGAAAATTAAAGAATATTCTAGCATACTTTAGTTTATGCAACTACTTTATACCTCCTTTTGTGATAAATGCTAGTACATTTTGAAGAAAATAGTTTGAAACCTCTTAATTAACAAATGGAATATAGAAATTTTCGTTTAATTATCGCCAAGAATTTTTAAACAAAACGTATTTATCCTTATTATAATATTCTTTATTTGAAAAACTTAATTCTTACCAATTTGTATTTTAGGATAAACTCTAATTTATTAAGATAGTTATTTTTTCCACGGAAATCAAATTTAAAACCATGCACATATTATTCCAACCCCTCATTACTAGACTAAATCTAATATTTCATGTATCAACATATTTTAATAACTCTTCACCAAATTCCTTTGTTGCGTGATCTCAAACCTTAATAACATTATTTCTCCTATTAACATATAGAAAATAAAGGATGGGGAAGAGGGAAGATTTTTTATAGAAGTTAAAATGTTCTCTTTCTTACAAATAGTCATAAGCCTTAAAAATTTGCATTTACTTGTTTGATTAAGTCAAACTTCTTGCGAAAATATTGTCATGGTATTTGAGTGATTAGACCAACAATATAAGATGATCATAATACAGGATTAAAATGTAATGTTAAATTCATATAATAACTAAAATGCAATGTTAATTTTATACGAGGACTATAGTGTAATCTTAGAGTAAAACTTTAAACTCTTTTAATAACTCATAATATATCAAACTTCTATTATACACGTTGGGATTTATATAACGTCACTTTGACGAGTGTAAAATTAACTTCTAGGACAATAGAATTGAGCGCTATTAACTCTAAGGTAGTCATTGTCGACACAGTCTTCTCTTGCACGTTGTTTTTCTTTTCAATAATTAGAAATTAACAACGATTATAAAGCAGTATTGTCCTTGTGTGCAAAAACTTAATTGTATTCTTACCAAATTCAAACCTTGTTGCTTATTACTTTCTTATTGGTCAGTGCCTAATGCTGATAATTGGCAGCACAGCACTTCAATCGGTGAGATTGGATAATAATTTTCCATATGTGAGTGCAAAATCTTTATAGTTTAAAAAGATTATGAGGAAATTGAAGTGTTATCATGCAATTTAAAAAAATATATATGTTGGAATATGTTAGGACAAAATTTCTGTTAGTGTTCCTGTGATAAACCATTGCAAAATTGACGGAGAAAAGGAGTACCATCAACTTTCTTAAAGTTCTTCCAATGGAATTTGAGGGAAAATTTTAATTTTGGTTTCTTCATTAACAGTGCAAAATAAACCTATGTCAGGGTGGCAGCACCTTGATCTTAAGAGATTTGACAATGATTTGACGTTGATTGCTCACCAATAATTTCCAGCAGTTTTCTTTTCTGCATTCACAATGTGTGAAACCATTCTGCCTAAGATGACTGCCATATCGTGTATTTTATTGGGTGGGCCCATAAAATGCATTATTTTCAAACTAGTTGCATGACACGTGATTGACTCATCACAATATCATACTTGTAATTTTTGGGGTCCTAAGAGTGCCACCTCTAATGGCTATGCATCATTCCTCAGTTGACACAATCCTTATTAAACCTCAGCACAGAACCTATCTTGGCTACATGTGAAATGACGCAATACTCTGACTGTTGCCTAACAAAGATAGAATTTGCATGGATTACGATGGTTGAAACTAACATCCTGGTTTCTATTTGGGCTTCTCAAGTTTGGGATCTTTGTGTTACTTTCTTGGAAAATTTTCAACCCAAAGATTTGTATGCACCTTCCAAAGGAGGCAAACACAGTTGCTAGATTGAAGCAAGAGTCTTTGCTTGTCCATTACTGTGGAGTTGAGTATGTCTCAACCTTTGAATTAATCATTGCATAGCAACTGAAAAAGAATGTAACACAATCGAAATTTTAGCTGCCAAGAAATTCTGAGACAAGATAGGATCCCATTCCATTGTATATGGCAGGCAGTGTGTGATTTCTTGTAGCAAAATAAAAGGCAAATGTATTTAAATCATTTCAAAACTATGAAATTCATGAAATTCTCATACAGCCATTGATTATGATTGATAAAAGTACTAGATCAAGACGTAAAATAGCATTAATTTTATTCTGTTTACTGTTTTAAGAATAAAATAGTATGTTAAAAAATGATACAATTTGATTTCATTGAGAGAAAAAAAAAAAAAAAAAAAGTAAAACAGGGTCCAGAATATAATTCCATGTTTCATTGAATCCTATTCACGCATCAAATCCTATTATAAGCACTCAAATTGATAACTGACATGTATAAAGACATTTTCTAAATGAGTTCATCTCTAACACGAAACATGTCACCTATTATTGATTTGAAGTGTATAGTAGGCAACTCCTGTCTAAAAGTCCCCTTCAAGTATTTCATCATTTTGTCTAAATACTTTGTCCACCAAAACTCAATAATACACAACCCTACCACGTACAAGCTGGGAGCTATGGCCCTTTTGTGCTGCAAACACAGTGCTTCAAGGAGGCACGTTGTTTCTGTCCCAGATTGCTGGGTACAAAGCAACATCTAAAGTAACGTGAACTATTATTACAAAGTGCAATCCAGCACCTCCGAAAAGGAAAAAGTCACTGACATTTCCAAACACATGATTCTCTCCAGTTTCAAGTGACAATCCTAATAAGTTATAACTAGATAAAATATAGGACCAAATGCCAAAAAAAGAGACAGTACTTATGGACCAAAGAAAAAACACATGAGGAATATACAGTGATCAAATATGGGATTGGCACCAACTTTTCCAAATTTCCCTCAAATAAAATGTTAGAGCCTGAAGTCCACATAGCGGGGCATTAACTTGATCCCAGCATACATACCTAGAGTCTTGAATCAAAAAAGACCCCAGTCAAGAACCCTGAAGCTTGTAACAGCAAGTTTAAAGACCTCGTCCATGGGCATACATCCAGCTTGTGGAGCTGGAACAGCTACACCAGCGCCAACTGTGTCCGCACTTTCACTCAAAGGACTGCAGACATAGAACATAATTAAAATGTATGTCTTGCACATGTAGAGCTTTCACCAAGATCAGATGATATTTCATTTGTTTTTTTATTTGATCTCTAATTTGCTTAGCTCTAACATAAGAAGATTTAAAATGATCAACCACGTGTTAACAAATAAGCTAGAAAGTGCAATTTTCAACCCCAAAAAAAATGATAAATAGCACACTGCACACCCCGAGGTTTAACAGCATAATCTGTATCTTTTCCATTAACACAAACCTCTCCTGATTTCTTATATAGTTATATGAATAGGAGAGATCAAAGTAATGACAAAAAATGGATTAGTATCGAGTATAATTTTATTAAAAATAAGGGGATAAGAGTAATTTGTCCACAAAAATGTCCAAACCAAACCTGGACATCCATCTATAATCAATAGAAGTCACCCAATCAGTCATCACTTGAATTAGAACCCAATTGAAAGACAATTTTCTGAAGAGCTTATTGGCATAAAAAATATATTTTGAAACTTACTTTATAACAATGGGCTCGTATGCAGTGACTAATACATCAGTTTCGACTCCTTTAAGACGCAAATTTGCCAAATAAACCTGAAGAAATGGCACAATTTTGGAATGATTCAAAGATTATACAATGTAGGAATAGTGTCAAATTAGCATTCGCAGAAGTTGAAAACATCACGAGTAAAATAGAACCTACTTTCACAATATTTTGTGCTTCCCTTCCTTGCCGTCCTTTAGAAATTGCCTGGAAATAATAACAGGTGACAGTGATTAAAAACACGTGCAATGGCAAAAATTTTTTTACAAAGACTCGCATATACACATTATGTAAAGAATAATCTTGCACAAGAGTCATATGAAAAGATATCAATTTCCTCTGAAGAATAAATAAAAAGAGATGGCTACAGGTCAAGTATAAATAGATGATACCATGTTCCTATCCTTTAAGTGAGTTAACTTGATATTAACATCCAAAATGCAATCAGCCAATGAATATCATATTTAACTAGTAAAAGAAATCCACTATTAGCGTGTTTGGAAAATTATTGAGAATGAAGGAATCACGTTTTTGGGATGTGGAAGCTATAACTAATACCTTCTAAATTCACATCCGAAATGCGATTAACGAGGAACCAAACACACTATAATAAATCAACAGACCTATAATAGTAGATACAAATGTTTTTTCAGCTAGTACAGCCTCAACAAGAATATCTGATAAACAAATCTTGATAAATCCAAATGACAGTTGTAAAGGAAATAATATGCAATGCCGCAATTCGTGTCTACAACAAAAACAAAAGTTTTATCCAATAAGTGACTTTGGCTAGTTTGCCATGTCTTCAAGTTACAAAAGTCCAAAAAGTTCTTTTTTTATTTCTGTTTGCATGACTGAGAAATTAGGATAATTTTTTCAACTTGGGTAAAGATGGATCAATGAAAGTTGGCATCTTTGGAATATTGTAATCTATAATTTATTATAAAAATACTAGGAAGCTTTAGAAACGAAACAGATTCATGGCACTACTAATTGTAGCCTTTAAAACTTTTGCAAAAATAATATTAATAATGCTGGGGCAGTTGGGCAAAACTGATACTATTACAAAACAGATTTTTAGGTCTTATTACCTCTTTATTTAACTTATACAGATCTGATGTTTGGGCCAATTACAATATGCAGCTTACAACCATGAGAAACATGTGACATGTCTGACTCAAGATAGTTATCAAGTAAAATTAACATATTTCATAGATAGAACTCAATGCCTTGTTTGATAATCTTAGATTGAAAAAGACATAGACATAGATCACAAAGAGATATCCAAGTTCATGACAATTGTAAGAGAATATTAATTCTTCTTTATATTTCTGTATTTTCTGTTAGTATAAGAGAATATTAATTCTTCTTGTATTTTTATTTTCTGTTAGTTTGCTATAACGGACAACAGGTCAGTTATAATTAACTCTGACATCATCATAGCTAGCTGAGCTTCTCTTATAAATAGCCTCTATGTACAGAACCTAAGCATCCTTTCTGTACAAACACTTATTCAGAAATAAGTTCAGAATGTTCTTTTCTCTCAGTTTATTTTTCGTACAAATATACAGGCAGAATCCATAAAAATCAATGAATTAAATGCACAGATTGAAAATTTTGTCAGCAATATGCAGAAAATAAGGAGATCAACATAATGTGAATATCTAAGGAAAGTGGTAGAACAGACTAAAATATATGCTTCAGCTGTAAGCCAGTCCTCCAAGCATCACTACACAGGCAAAATTAATATGACATCTCAGACTGCCTCTAAGGAATAGACAGCTAAATATGCTCCTAATTATTGCAAAATCTTAAAAGGCTGAGTGGATGTCAATTTAACAGTATTGAACTATGGATAGTCCGCAGGATGCAAAATTAAATTAAATTAACATATACAATAAACACCAAACAGAAAAAATAGAGGCTATAATACAACTACCCAAGTAATCATGTAATAAAGATGTAATCAAATAATATCAAGATCAAGAGTAATAAATAATAGATAAGCAGATAGTTAAATCGATTCAACTTTGCACACATAACATTGTCTTTGCACATCCTCAATCTGTAAATACTGAATATAGTAAAGAAAAAGGCATGCAGGTAGATTATGATATCTAGTTGGCATGCCAGAGAAGTATTAGAAACAATGTATGAACATTAATGCCAGGGTGACTCAATTAGATGATCAGGAAATGATTTAGAAACACAAATCAAGGTCAAAACAAGCATAGAAACTCTACCATTTGACCCACTGCAGTTGTTACAACAGCAGGAGAATTGTTGTACATCAAACCAGGTGCTTCAAGAACTCCTGACTGCCCAATAACCTGAAGTAATTTAAAGGGAAGAGATGATCATGAGACACAATTAACTTACATGATCACGAAACACAATAAACTTCTGCAACAAATAAGACATTAAATGGACAGCTTTAAAGATAAGCAATCCTCTGTGACAGAAACTCTTTTTCCTGTTCCTATTTTCTGGGAGATAATACATGCACACTCCCACAGATCAACTGAAGTAGTGTTAAGCTATGATAAATCAAATCACACTGGAATTAAAAAGGAAGAAATATCACAAGCAATGTTACAGTATGCTGAAAGGGGAAATGGACTCTGCTGATCATCAATGACAGCTAAACCTCCAAAACCAAATAGGAAACATTCACACAAAGTCTTGTAAGCAGACATTGATAAAATAAATGGATAGAAATGATAGCATCCTTAATGGAAATAAATCAACCAAGCCACCTAAGCATTTTTTTTTTCATTGGACCCCATAGTACAGTATGGCAAAAGCAAACCACTCAAATATTAAAAAAAAAACACCTACTCTTGGTACCACTCGCTCAATCCACAAATCCTCTTTGCCAACACATAGGATAGGATGAACGCAATAAAATCCAGTTTCCATACACCAAATACAGTGCCACACTTCATGAATCCATAACTTGAAGAAACCATAATGAAATGATTACATACCACACTTCCTTCAGCATCCTGTTCTCTAGCAAGGTCTTGAAGAAACCATGCAGCACTCCCATTATCAGCAACATCAGGCTTTAATTCTAAAAGCTCGAAGATCAAGCTTTCATCTCGACTCGGGTCCACGAACACCTCCTATATATCATTAAGACCCAAAAATAAGTCAGCAAAAGGATTAAACAAAACATGAAATACAATCAAAGACAAAGCATGACAAAACCTGATGATTAGGGACTTCTCTAATGTTGCTGACATCCTACAAAAAATAACCAGAACCTTAATTTCAGCAAAACTAAAGTCACACGGTGTCTTCAAATGGTTTATCCAAAGAACATAAAAGGAAAATGCAAAACCAAAAAAATAATAATAATAATGACCTGGAACCTGTTGGGGAACGTGCTAGATATTTTGCCACCATACAAAGGGTGTTGGTAAACAATATCTTCTGGCATTTTTGCCACAACTAAAAGAACAGGGGACAGCACCACCACCCTAGTTTACATCAAAATATGACCATCCATGTTAGCAATTCACATGAACCAACAAAACGGAACCCAAAAATTGATTCTTTTATTATATTCTTGTTTTAGGAAAAGATAAGAAATCCCCACACAAAGGTGCAAAGCTAAGCACGGCATTGGCTATTGCTATCCTTCATTTGAAAGTTTGCGAATTTTGAAGCTATGAAAAACGTTATTGGGATACAAAAAATCCTAAATACCTGGGAGTAATCGAAGTACGTGAGAGAACAAACAAAGGAAAAAGACCTGGTTTGTTCTGCCACTACTACTAGTCGTTGTTGACAATACTGCTTGAAATGTAAGCTTTCTCCTTCTCTTCCCGTTATTTAGACAGTGTTTTACATGGGTTACATTTTTACATTACATGATATAAATTAGATGAAGGCTAGGGTGGACCACTATATTAAGTGGTCCACGGTACACAATAATTTTGAGCCTTTAGATCAATCTTTATTTTTATAGATTCTATCTTAGTTTTCACACCTAATTATTTCTCTTCAAACCATATCCTCCATCACCATACACGTCAATAGCCACCATACTAGAAAACAATTGTTTCCACAGAAAGCACCAGACAAGATAACAATGAGATCATCATTCCCTCCTTCACGACATTCACCCCTAAAGCCCCTCAATACTCCGCAAACTCCCTGGTCGAAAGTCTCTGATACTCTATTGCAATCCTGTAGCTCTGCTGCCACATGCATTTGTGACACAAGGCCCAAGTTCAACCACGTATCCATCTTCTTTGTTTACTCCCTTCTCTTCCACACATACATACCAGTAGCCAAACTCAAAACTCGTATAAAGCAGCTTAGAAACCACCTTTCTAACAACCCCAAATCCCAATTCATACTACAGCAAACAATACCCCTCATTCCACAGCCAAAACACCACACCCCATCAACGCAACCCAAGAACAAAAATCGAAACTTTCCACCACAAAATAAAAACCCAATAAATTATTTCTCCAAAATCCCAATAGGGCAACCGAAAAAAAAAAAAAAAAAAAAAAAAGAGAGAGAGAGAGAGACAGACACAGGGACACATACAGGGGTGTAACGGAACTTCCTTCTGGGAGGCTCTTCGGCGACGTTGGCGGCGGCGTCGTCAGCAGTGGTGGGGTCCAGTGGCGGAGGAGACGAGAGTAAGAGTTGGGGCTGTTAGTGTGGCAGGTATCATATAATCTATGAGATGAAAAGTAATCCAATGGTTATAAATCATAGACCACACCCTATCCAACGGCAGGTATCATATAAGATAATAAGAGTATAATTTTAATTAAATGTTGGTTATAATTATTAAATAAATAAATATGTTACATCAATTATCTAACTTTGATATTACATCACATTGTTTAATTTTACTTAACTTTGACATGACATTATCTAATTTTATCCTTATATTATTTTATCTTTTCATGATATTTAACTTTCTATAATTACTTATTTATAATACGTGATAATGATGATATGATAATTTATTTTTTTTTTTGTCTGATGTTCCTGTGTTAGGATATACACTTTAATTATTCTTGTCGTAGCGGGTCGGGTCTGGGGTCTAGATCTTCTCGTTCTTCTCCGAATAGTTCGAAGTGAGGGGGGTGTGCCTGCAAAGACACTCAAATGCTCAAGTAAGTGCTCGACGTAATAAATGCGGTAGTTAAAAGTTGGTTACGTACCTCGTAGGGGGTCTATTTATAGTGTTTCTTGTTGGGCCGTGATTAGGGACTGGACCTCGAGAAATTAGGGGACTAAATCGGCACATTACGTAAATTAACCTCTCCATAATCATCTTGGCGTAAATCTGTGCCTTGGCCGAGCACACTGACATGTTCCGTTTCGTGAGTGGTCGGTGGGCTCGGGTGTTCGGTTTAGTCGGTCACGAATTCGGGTATGCGGCCTATTCGACTCCCATACGGTATACAACTCCCTCAGCGTCGAGGATGGTAAGGACGAAGACGGTTAAATTTCGTATGGCTGTGTTTCTCGGCGTGAAATGAAGTGTTGCTTCTGACCTCTAGTAATAATGTAGGAGCTCCCAGGGCAATTAGTTTCATTGCCGTCGGTGGTTGTGACGGGACATGTATTTATGATCGTCAGCTAGTGTCTTGCCGACCACTTTAGCCGAGGTTAAGGTCCTCGGGTAGCTATGACAATAGTGGCCGACCCCGAGACGGTTGAGAGCCCAACGGTTATTAAATCTGCGATGAAGTCTATGCCGAGACCTAGGTGGGTGTAGCCTATGCCAAGACCTAGGTGGGTGTAGCCTATGCCGAGACCTAGGTGGGTGTAGCCTGCCACGTTGGCCTTGGCGGTTAAAAATCCAACGGTTGTTAAATCTGGACCGTTGGATGGTCTAGATCGAACGGTGGGCCACGTTGGCCTTGGCGGTTAAAAATCCAACGGTTGTTAAATCTGGACCGTTGGATGGTCTAGATCGAACGGTGGCAGTTTCGGGGCGTCTTTTCACCTCCCCCATTTACCTTACCTATAAATAGGGGGGCGCGAGGGAATTTACTTGTTGTAAATTTTCCGAGATTTCTGAATTCAAGAATTTGTCCGAGTTCACCGATCAAGGTACAATTTTGTATTATTTATTTTCTGGTAATAAATGGATAGGGGTTATTCCTCGGCTAGGAGCTGGACGTCCTTGGAGGCGTCAGGTGCTGCGTCGGATAGAGAAGGGTCGGGTTCGAGTGAGATATCAAGGTTACCTCCGCTGTAATGTGAAGTGGTGTTCCCCTCCGATCATGCCGAGCAGGAGGATAGTGGGGATGAGGTGGTTGAGGTATCGCCCCCGGTGACTTTGGTTGTGGCTTTGGCACGAGCTACCGAGGTGGATGCTAGAGGTTTAGGCCAGGTCAGCCAACGGAGCCCACATGCTGAAACCATTCACGCCGAAGACAGTGGAGACGAGTTGGAGGTACTCGGCGATAATCGAGGCAAAGGCGTGGCCAGACCGAGTGCTCAGGCGAAGGCGAAGATTGACTACGGCACAGTGGAGATGCCCGGGTATGAGTGGGTAGACGGGGAGGTCAGCATCTACTTTTCGTCGCTTTCGGACCAAGGGTTATTAGACACCTTCGTGTCCTTAGAAAAGTGTTTCGGGAGCGGCGAAGACGAGTTTCCATTGCTTGTCGAGGCGTGCGAGGATGAGGGGGCGAACACTGACTTTGTATTCTTGGAGCCGGGGCCCAATGAAGACATTACTTCTATGCTTACATGTGTTGGTTCGAGGACCTTGGCATAAAGCTCCCGTTTGACGACTTTCAGATGGGAGTTCTCCGAGCACTGAACGTGGCGCCGACCCAACTACATCCGAACGCTTGGGCAGCCATGCAAGCGTTCCGGAACCTATGTTTGTGCTTGGGCCTTACACCCCAACCACTGGCTTTTCTCTATTATTATATATGTCGTCCGAGCAAGCCGGTGAAATAGGTGTCGCTGGCTCGAGTGCCGAGGCGTGGGTTTCTTCGAGCATTCACCTCCTCTTACAAGGGGTTTAAGAGTGGGTTCTTCAAGGTTTGCTGGGGGTCGGAAATGAGGCACTATTTTTACGACCGTGAAGAATCTCCGTTATTCCCTTTCTATTGGATGAGGCGGCCGACGCGTTTCGAGGCGATGCCCTCATCAAAACTCCCTGCCGAGGACAAAGAGATTGTGGAGCTCCTAGACAAGTTGCCGAAGGGTTTGCCTGTCCGAGGCCTCTTGGACATTTTTGAAACATCTCATTTTGAGATGGCCTTGCTAGGTATGTGTGTTAGGCTTCGGTAGTGTAGCAGTGTTTTGAATTGATGTTAAGACTTGTTTTTTTGTAGGTTTAATGGCCGAAGGTAATCTAGATGTGATCGCTATGCTCGCTAAGAAGGCGAAAGAAGCGAAGGCTAGTGGGAAGGTGTCGCCGGCGAGGTCGGCCCTGAAATTGCAGCGGGATAAGCCCCCCAATGTGATCATCCCTCTGGCCGATGCCAAAAAGAAGGGAAGCACTTCTCGGGTGCGGGCTGCCGAGCAGAATATAGAGCCGGAACATCCGAGCTCTTCTAGCAAACGCCCGAAGCAACTATCATTAGAGCAATCGGGTTGCGGTGCTTTCGCCATTCCAGCTGTTGTTGCTGGTTCGAACTTCCTTGCTCTGAAAGTGCAGACCAAGAACCTGGTCAGCCTGGACCTCACTACCGGGGGGGATGCAATACTTGGAGGGCATGTCTGCGGAGGCCGAGTATAAGCTCTTTTGTGAGCTTGATGCTCGGACCTTTCTTATCGCCAAACATGTCATGATGAGGTATGCCGTCTCGGAGGAGAGGCTCCATGGCCGACTCAAGGAGGCCGAGACCACGCTGAAGGAGGCGTTGACTGCGAATGCCAAGGTAACTGAGTCGGCTGAAGAACTGAAGAGGGCCGCCGACGCCCATAGAAGGGAGGCCGACGACCTGAAGTTGGTCGTGCAGAAATTGAAAGCCGAGGCCGCCACCTCCGCGAACGAGATTGCCCGGCTGAAGGAGGTTGCTACTAAGTTTGAGGCCGAGGCCACCGAGAAGATCCTCGAGCAACATGACGCCGGATTTCGGCATGTGGTTCGACAAGCCTTCTACTATTGCGAGGTCCCGGCTGACTTTGAATTTGATGTTAGTCGGGACTTCTATGGTGGCAAGTTCATCAATTATGCCGAGTTCCCCCATGGTGCCCAGCCTGACGAAGAGGCCCCTCGCCGAGGGATTTCCACTCAGGTCCCAGTGCTGCCGATCACCAAGGAAGAGGATCCAATTATTGACGTGACTGGTGATGGGAACCCGGAGTACTCAGCCGCAGTATGAGAGGTCGGCCCTGGTAGTGGTAGGTTAGGATTAGGATATTGTTTTCTTGTAATCGGACTGTTAGTGCCTTTTGTATTTTGGCCATTGGCGCCGGTGGAAAAGTGATTCTTTTTGTAATTAGCCGTTCTGATCAGCCACACCTTTTAATGAAATTTTGATTTCCAATTTTTTCATGTTTATCAACACCTAGTAATGTAAAAATAAACCGACTTGCATACTTGGCCGAGAGGGCAATTTTCGCGATTTAACCTGCGATTAAAGCATGGTGTGTTTGATTACGCGAGAGTACTCGGATCTTATCTATTTGATACTCAAAGCATGGGTTTCGTGAGGGTGCTCGGTTTGAGAGTGGCCAGGGTGTTCGGGTGTTCGGGTGTTCATTGCGAATTGATATTCGGTGCAGGTGGTCGGTGGGCTCGGGTGTTCGGCCTATTCGGCCCTTAAACGTGATGGTTTACGCGATTTGATGCTACACGTGTTGGATCACGCGAGAGTGATCGGCTTGATAGTACTCGGCTTGAGCATGTTCGACCTTAGAATTGGATAACGCGAGTTGATACGCGGTGTTAGAACGTGTTGGAGTGCTCGGCCTAGGTACATCCTTAGCCGAGGAGGGTACTCGGGAGGGAAATCTATCGGGCTTGCGTGCACCTTTAAGTGGTCGACCGAGGATTGCTCGGCGTCGGCGCATGTGCGTATTGCTCGACCTAGGTACATCCTTAGCCGAGGAGGGTACTCAGGAGGGAAACCTGTCAGGCTCGAGTGCACCTTTGAGTGGTCGGCTGAGGATTGCTCGGCGTCGACGTATGTTGTGCGTATTGCTTGGCCTAGGTACATTCTTAGCCGAGGAGGGTACTCGGGAGGGAAACCTGTCAGGCTCGAGTGCACCTATGAGTGGTCGGCCGAGGATTGCTCGGTGTCGACGTATGTTGTGCGTATTGCTCGGCCTAGGTACATCCTTAGCCGAGGAGGGTACTCGGGAGGGAAACCTATCAGGCTCGAGTGCACCTATGAGTGGTCGGCCGAGGATTGCTCGGTGTCAGGGCGTATTATGCGGAGTGCAACCTAAACGTATATAATAAAACAGGAAACGTCATGAGGAAATTTGAAAATATTTTGTATTAATGAAGTGCCTCGTTAAAAACCTTGTCGACCCAAAACCCTCCTTAGGAAAAAAAGAGTCGGGCAAGGAAAAGAGTGCACTATTACATCAGCTGTAATACACTTTTAAATGTGAGGAGTTCCAAGTTCTCGGGATTGGTTCTCCTGATAAGTACTCCAGCTTGTATGCTCCGTTGTTTAGGTTGTGTCGTACTCGGAAGGGTCCGTCCCAATTTGGGGCGAGTTTTCCTTGTCTCGGATCTTTTCTCGCCTCGCCTGTGGCTCTCCAAACAAGATCTCCTCCTCGAAATTCTCTAGGCTTCACCTTGCTGTCGAATCTTCTCTTGTAGCGTTGATTGGTGGCCTCGGCCACTACTAGTGCTCGGTCTCGAGTCTCTTCCACAACATCCAGGTTTACTCAGAGTTCGGCTTCATTATTCAACTCGTCAAAGTGGGCTCGCCGGAATGAGGGCTCCCCAACTTCCACCGGGATCATTGCGTTGGACCCATAGACTAAGCGGAAAGGGGTTTCTTGTGTAGTCGACTGGGGTGTGCACCTGTAGGCCCACAACACTTCGAGTAACTACTCGGCCCATGCTCCTTTTGCTTCTCCTAGCCGCTTCTTCAACTCTGTCAGGATAACTTTATTGGCTGACTCGGCCTAACCGTTCGTTTGTGGGTGCTCGACCGATGTGACCTTGTGCTGTATTCCTAGGCCGGTTAGGAACTCGTTGAGTTTTCGGTCGGTGAACTGAAGGCCGTTGTCGGTCACCAGGGTATGTGGGATGCTGAACCGGGTGATGATATTCCTCCATAAGAATTTTTGGACTTGATGAGCCGAGATGCATGCCAAGGGTTCGGCTTCAATCCATTTGGTGAAAAGGTCTACGGCAACGATGAGGAACTTGCATTACCCCTTGGCAACCGGGAAAGGTCCGAGTATGTCGGCCCCCCATGTCGCGAACAGCCATGCTAGGGGAATGCAATGTAGCTGCTCGGCCGTCTGGTGGATCAAGTTGCCGTGTTTCTGACATGGTTGGCACTTTTTCACAAAGGCTCCGCAATCGGTATTCATGGTCGGCCAGTAGTACCCGGCGCGTAAAAGTTTAGAAACGGTCGTTCTCGCTCCGGAGAGCATTCTGCAGATACCCTCGTGAACTTCTCGTATCACGTAATCGGCCTCGGTTTGGCTTAGGCATTTAAGTAGCGGCGTAGAGAAGCCGCGCTTGTACAACTGACCAGCGATGATGACATATCTGCTAGCCTGGGTTCTCAACCGTTTGGCTTCGGTCAGGTCGTCAGGCGTGACCCCGTTGGTGATGAATGCTTTGATTTCGGCTCGCCAGTCTGGGGAGTCGTTGGGATCGGTGTGGTCGGCGTCGACACTTCCTACCATTTCCGCTTCGACACTAGGTTGGTCAACCTCTTGCTGAATGATGGTTCTTAATTGGCCTGGCTTCTTTGTCGCGGCCAACCTAGCCAACTGATCGGCTCGGGTATTGTTCTCGCGAGGGATGTGTTCGACCAACACCTCTTGAAAGTTTGTCTTCAACTTTTGATAGGCGTGGTAATACTTCATCATGTTGTGGTCTTTTACTTGGAAGTTACCGCCCACTTGTTCGGCCACAACCTTGGAGTCGGTCAAGCATTTGATTCTTGAGGCACCCATGTCTTCGGCTAGCCTTAGTCCGACCAATAGAGCCTCGTACTCGGCTTGGTTGTTCGAAGCCTTGAACCAAAAGCGGAGAGATTGTTCCAAAACTATCCCTTTGGGTCCCTCTAGGATTACTCCTGCTCTGCTCCCCTGGCAATTTGAAGAACCGTCTACGTGGAGGATCCACCAATGCTCTTCGAATTGGCCGTGCGGGTGGAGCTCATTCACAAAGTCAACTAGGCATTGAGCTTTGATCGGCCCCCTGGGCTTGAAAGCAATGTCAAATTGTGAAAGCTCAACTGACCAAGCCATTATTCTCCCGGCTAGTTTGGGCTTACCCAAAACTTTGGAGATTGGGCAGTCGGTATGCACAACTACTCGGTGGCTCTAGAAATAATGCCTTAGGCGTCGAGAAGTGTGTACCAAGCCTAGCGCCACCTTTTCTATCAACTGATACCGGGTTTCGGGGTCCTGAAGTAGTCGGCTTACAAAGTATATAGGAACTTGGCTGCCTTCTTTTTCTTGTACCGAACCGAGCTGATCGCTTCCTCTGAGACGACCAAGTATACTTCAAGCGGGCGCGAGGGGTCAGGTCTCGTCAGGATCGGCGGCGATGCCAAGGTTGCTTTCAGTTCTGTAAAGGCTCCTTCACACGTCTCGTTACACGAGAAGGCCGAAGCCTTCCATAAAAGCTTGGTCATCGGGCTGATCTTGTCGGCTAGGCGGGGGAGGAATCGGGACAATGCAACTAACCTCCCGGACAGCCGTTGCATTTCCTTGAGATTGCTAGGACTTCGTATTTCTAAGACAACTCGACATTTATCTCGGTTTGCCTCTATTCCTCTGGCCGATAGCATGAATCCCAAAAATTTTCCTCCCTTAACCCCGAAAGTGCACTTTTCGGGGTTGAGCCTCATGTTATGCTTTCGTAACTCACCGAATATCTCGGCCAAGTCTGCTAAGTGGTCGGCCACCGAGTTGGACTTCACCACCATATCGTCTACATAGATTTCAATGTTGCACCCTACCTGCCCCCGAAACACCTTATCCATTAGCCTTTGGTAGGTCACTCCTGCATTTTTCAGTCTGAACGGCATGACTTTGTAACAGAATTTGGCGTTCTCGGTGATGAACGCCGTCTTTTCCTCGTCGGCCGGGTGCATCTTAATTTGGTTGTAGCCGGAATAGGCGTCGAGGAAGCTGAAGATGGAGTGCCCGGACGCACCGTCTACAAGTCGGTCTATGCAGGGGAGTGGATAAGCGTCTTTAGGGCAGGCTTTATTAAGATCGGTGTAGTCGGTGCACATTCTCCACTTCCCACTCGACTTTTTTACCAGAACCACGTTGGCTAGCCAGGTGGTGTATGTGACCTCCCTTATGAATCCGGCTTGCAACAATTTATTCACTTCGGCGTTCGTGGCCTTTCTCTTTTCATCCCCCATTTTTCTCTTCTTTTTGGGCAACTGGTCGGGCGTCTCTACACACGACAAGCCGGTGGCAAAGGAAATTTGGATCTATTCCTGGCATGTCTGACGCCGTCCATGCGAATAAGTCTTTGTTGTGTCGGACCGCTCGCTTCACCTAGTTTGAATCGGCTTCATTCAGTTAGGATCCCATGTGCGTGATCTGTTCGAGTGTTTGGCCAAGCTGAAAAGGAACGAGGTCTTCCACCGGCTCGATTCGTTCTTCTTCTCCTAACCGAGGATCAAGGTCGACGCTCTCTGTCATCTCTTATCTGACCACATTCACTCCCCTCGTTGTCGTCGGGGGGTCGGCGATAGGTCATACCTTCAAGCTAGAGAGGTAACACTCTCTTGCTATCTTCTGATCGGCGTGAACGGTGATTACCTGCCCATCTTTCAACGGAAACTTCATGCACAGGTGAGGGGTTGAGACGATGGCCCCCAGTGCATTGATAGAGGGTCGGCCTAGCAAGATGTTGTATGACGTGCTCGCATGCACCACAACGTAGCGAATTTTGATCTCTCAGGAATATTTTTGGTCGAAGCCGAAACGAGTGTATAGATCAATGCATCCTCTCGTCATCACTCTTTCACCTGAGAAGTCTACCAGTGGTTCGTGATACGGTTCTAGGCTTTCCTCTGGGATCCCAAGTTGCACGAAAGTGTTCCAATACAAGATGTCGGCGGAGCTCCCCTGGTCGACCAAGTTTTTCTTAACAATGCAGTTATGCATTTCTACAAAAATCACCATCGGGTCGTCCTGAATGGGATCGACTCCTCGGAAATCTCGGTCTGAAAAGGTAATCGGTGGCATCTTCGGTGTCCTCAGCTGATTCACGCTATTTACTGATCGCACCGCTCGGAGATGTCTCTTTCGTGCAAAAGATGTGGAACCTCCCCCAGCGAAGCCTCCAGCTATTGTGTTTATTATCTTCCTCGGCCGGTCATTATCTTCTCGGGAATGCCGTGAGTGGTCTCTCCTTTCAGCTGACCGGGATCGGTGGCATCGGTCTCTGACGGTGGGGCTTCCCGAGAGTGATGCTCTCTCTCCCTTGACTGGTGGTCTTGGGGGGTGACGAAGCTCCTGAGGTGACCTTGCTTGATAAGGTCCTCAAGCTTGTCTTTTAGTGCCGAGCATTCTTCCGCCGAGTGCCCCCTGTTTCGGTGGAATCGGCACGTCTTGGCTTTGTCGGCTCTAGGGGTGTGTTCGCCCTTTTCGGCATCACAAGGATCTCTGATGCGAGGGCCTGCTCCATTACCTTAGCCCTACTTGCATTGAGGGGAGTATACGTTGTGTAGTGTAGTCCTCGTGGGGGGCGAGCATTTGAAGGCTCGACATTCGCCTTTTTCATCGGCTCTCGGCCAGATTCCTTTCGGCCGTAGCCCTCCTCGGCCCTAGCCTGGTTTCGGGTCTCCACAAGTTCCTTCATTTGCATGTACTTCTCGGCTCGGCGTCGAAGATCGTTCATATCAACGAGTGGTTTCTTACACAAGCTATTTATGAATGGCCCGGGCCTCAGGGCAGTGCTCAGCCGATCCATTGCCACGGTAGGGTTAAGGTCGCCGATCTCCATGGCGATCTTGTTAAATCAGTCCATGAAACTTCTCAAACTTTCTTTCTTCTCTTGGCGAACCCCCGCTAAGGCTAATGAGGTCGTCTTGTACGGCTTGCTCGTCGCGAACTGGAGAGTAAATTGGGATGACAACTCGTTGAACGAGTCGATGGAAGAGCTCGGCAACCTCGTGAACCAACTCAAGGCCCTTCCTTTCAGCGACGTGGGGAATATTCGGCACAAGGCGGAATCGTCCTAAGTAGAGAGGGTTGCTTGTGTTAGGAAAACGTTCAAGTGCTCTTCGGGGTCGGTAGACCCATCGTACTTCTCGATTGGAAGGCTCTTCCAGTGGTCCAACAGGGTTGCCGCCATTATCCTTCGAGAGAAAGGGTGCCGTAGGGAGTGAGTGGTGGTGTCGGCCTTGTTGCCTATCAAAGAGGCCACAGGTGTTCGGGTCACATGGTCAGTTGGGGCATGGTATGCCGACTCCTCTTGGAGAGTAGGAGTTGACGGCACGTAGGTCTGGTTGAGACTTCGGAGCTCGGCATTTTGTCGGCGCAGTTCGGCCAGCTCCCTGGCATCGACTTCTCTCTGTCTTCGAATAGCGGCCATTTCCTCGCGCAATGCGCGCAAGTCATCATGCAGATCGGGCTGGGCTCGGTCGGTGGTCGGCCGGACCTCTTGTATCACAGGCTCCGGTTGCGTCTGAGGCATTCCGTATGGGTATCATTTTTGTCCGGCCACGACGGGATTGTTCTCGGGGTTAGGGATCAGTTGAGTCGATGTCGAAGGTCCTTTGCGTGTTGCTACCATATCTCGGTCTCAGTCGTAGAGTTTAAAAGGGGCTGAAAACGTCTCTTCGGCCCCACGGTGGGCGCCAAATGTTCCTATGTTAGGATACACACTTCAATTATCCTTATCGTAGCGAGTCGGGTCCGGGGTCTAGGTCTTCTCGTTCTTCTCCGAATAGTCCGAAGTGAGGGGGGTGTGCCTGCAAAGACATTCCAACGCTCAAGTAAGTGCTCGGCGTAATAAATGCGGTAGTTAAAAGTTGGTTACATACCTCGTAGGGGGTCTATTTATAGTGTTTCTTGTTGGGCCGTGATTAGGGACTGGGCCCCGGGAAATTAGGGGACTAAATCGGCACATTACGTAAATTAACCTCTCCATAATCATCCTGGGGTAAATTTGTGCCTTGGCCGAGCACACCGACATGTTCCGTTTCGTGAGTGGTCGGTGGGCTCGGGTGTTCGATTTAGTCGGTCACGAATTCGGGTATTCGACCTATTCGGCTCCCATACGGTATACCTGACATTATCTATGCATCATAATTTAAATTAAGAAATAAATAGAATAATAAATATAATTTTGTATTAAAAAAATGGTTAGCCAAACTGTCCCAAAAACTTTTTTAAAAAAACCAGAATTATCAAATTATCTTAGCTAAAGCCGTTTTGCGCGGATTCCTAAAACAAAATGTTTTTGTAATCATTGATTAGATTGTTGATAAATGAGTACAAAATATACAATATTATTCAAAACGAAAAGTAAAATTCAAAAGTACAAAGGACGAGATTAGTCACTAATAATGGATATTTCAAGGAGGAAAAAAAAAGTAACGACGAACATGCATCTACAAAAAGAAAAAAAATAATGGTTTCTATTTTTCTATTTTTATTATAATTTAATATTATTAATAAAAATTATTTTCGTGTTTTATTTTATGCCTAACATTAAAGGATTTATCTTATTTTGTCTTATGATATTATATTACTATACCTCCAAAATAAAGCAGGCCAGGACAAGTTTAGTGTCAGAAACCCACAGAACAACCCAAGCAAGTGCCCCCAAAAAAGTGGCTAAACCTGAAAGACCCAATCTCACAAAGCCCATTCTATCATCTATCCATTTTTACTAACAAACCTCATTTTTTATTTTTATTCTTTGAATGTACTCTTTCCGAAAATTAAGAGCAGAAAATTATTTGGGTAATATTTTATTTTAAAAATTAAAGGCTTAAAAATATTTTATTTTATTTTTATAAAATGATTGAGTTTTAATTTTGATCCCTATAAAATTTATTTTTTATTCATCTCTGAAAATTTTGTAAACATTATTTTTCATCCTTACAAAATAACATAAAGTCATTATTTTTTTGTCTCTAATGAACAATTTAATGTATAAAAATAACATTTATTTTATGAATTTATAAATTTTTTCAAAGATTTCATACATTGTCAACAGTTGTGAGTATCATCTAAAATGATCATTTAACTTTTTAATAAGCACATAAGTAATTAAAAATGTCATTTAAATTTTCCGCAATTTCTAATGAAACTGCTCAGCTCCCTCTTCAATTTTACATCGAAAGGGATCCAATTTTGGATATGATAAGTTCATACTAAAATATATTTCTAATGGAAATTCGTTTTCCACTGCATATCTTGACAAAATCATACTAAAATATAAAACGGAAACAAGTTTTTTTTTTATCCATCATACATAATAAAAACAAGTTTCATCGAATTAGCTAGAAAAAAAATAGAGATGAGAGAGTGGGGTGGGAGAAGAAAAATTATTTCAAATTGTGGCACGACAATTTTCAGGCCTGCGTAGCAAGATAGTGTTGGTGTGTGTGAAGACGATATTTTTGTAAAAAATTCAACAAAAATATGAAATTCTGGTGCATTTAGTGGAAGATAGAGGTCTAAATAGCATTTTCCATGGGAAACATTTTGGACAAGAAACTGAGGGAAGGAGATAAAAAATTGAAGTATGCAATGATTATTTTTTTATCCATAATATTGATCTTGATACAGATGAATTTATAATGACGTACATTCAATCAACTGACACAAACATGTTGGTAGCATGTACAGTAATATTTAGGCTTCAAGAAGAAATTTCAACAAAAATGAAAAGAAAAAAAAAACAAATACAATCCAAATGCAATTTCATTAACGTATTATCAAATAGTCTAATTAATTTAATTTATCACTCACCGAATATTTATTATTAGCATTATTTATATTATTTTTTTACTCAAAGGGGCGAATTTTAACTTATTAAATTGTCTTTTTAATATTAAAATATCACTAAAAGTTTAATTTGCACATAATTTCTAATTCATCTATGTTCACGGTATTTTCTGAAAAGTTAAATAAATAAAACCTCTTTAAATTATGTATTCAATTAAAATATAAATTCTTTAATCATTAATCATGTGCCCTTACAATTCTGTGTCTCCACCTTTTAAACCCTTTAGTTAGTTATACGTATCTGTTACAATCTGTCATCTACACACAAAGATCTATCATAAAGTAAGCTACAATATCCCAATCACCGGCCACATCAACCAATTACATTTACATGAATTTACCCAAAACAATTCCTCCTGATCTACAAACTTTATGCTACAGAATGCACCATAACTATTTATCAAAAATGCTGAACAAAAGGAGTTGCAAATTTCAATAAAATTGTTCATGACCCTTTCATGGTGTAGCACAGCATGGATCATGGTTTTTGTATTGGAAACACCATAAAAATTAAAAATTAACGGCAGTCAGGAAAACATAGGCCAATTGGAATTTTAGAATAGATATTATTTGCAGAAGCAAGGCATAAGGAACTAATGCAGTGATTCACCGAAAAATGGAACTACCTGTCTACCATTCACTTGCAGAAAATAAAGCAATCAATCAAAGAAGTTTGTTGGCTTTTCATCATTATATTCCGAACAATTATCATTTCAAAAGCAAAAAAATAAAGAATTTGATTTCTATGTTGTTATAATAATAAAATCACAAAACTTAATATACATAACATTTGTAAGTGGATAACAGTTTAAAAACTTGTCACAATGCATACACTGTTTACTAAAATAAAATAATGTTTGATCGGTAGAGGTCAAGCCCTACAAACATAGATTAATTTTTAATTGTCATATTTAGGATACTGTGCGAACCATGTTTATGGAATATATATATATATATATATATATATATATATATATCAAATAGGCATACATTGCAGCAATTTGTGGTTGCCTAACCAGCCACTGAATTTGCACCAGTTGAGCACATAATAAACCAGACACCAGAAGCATAAACAAGTAAGAGATTCAAGATGACTTCACAAGGAACAAGTCTCTCACAAGTGCACCCTAAAACAATCTAAGTACAGCACTGCACAGATATGTTCAAATTTGATCATAAAGACCATTTATTACACACACAGCTAGAATAGAGAGATGGGAAAGAAGATAGAGGTTGATCTATCCACCCCAAGCAACCTAGGGGTGAAGGAGAAAAAGGGACCAATTAGAGAAGACTGAAACCATACTCCTAACAAGAAGAAACAGAAGAAAGTAGCAAACACAAAGAAACTCATCAGTGCAAAAGATCTCTCCAATCCCTTTACATATCTGACAGAAAAAAGTGAAAAAGTCCCTGGAATAATGACAAAGAACTAATCGCTGGAACCAGACAATTAACACACCCCCCTCCCCCGAATCCAAAAACGATTCAGAAAATATCATGACAAAAAAATCAGAACATCAAAATATTTAGTAATCTGAAACTGAAGTGATTACATACATAAAAAGAGGGTGCTTATTTATAAGGCTCCTACGCTACTCTTAAACTGACACCCTTCGTATGTGGGAATTCCACAAGATATAAAAGAACTAGCTAAAAAAAAAAAAAAAAGGTAATGCAGGCCTTTATTTGAAACAAGGAATATAACCAAAAAACCATTTATTGTGAAAACTTTCTACTTTGGCTTGCTCTATCAGTCTTTTCAATAAATTCCTGGGCTAGTTGTTCATTACTAGTAACAAAGAGAAGCCACCAAAACAATCTCATCTCACATTTGAAGAGATCGATGTATTTGTTAAAATGCAGACTTTGCACTCCAACCAAATTCATTATCCACGAGGGATTGAAGCTTCTTCCTCCAGGAACTGCTATTATAACTTATAAGTTCTTAACTTTAGCCCTTGAATGTAACAGGTACCTTTTAACTGCAAGGATAAGCACCCAAGTAGTAGCAGAGATTTTTTCCTTGATCATTAAGAGCAGTGCTGAGCTCAAAACAGTTTTTAAGATTTGAGCATGCAGTCCTTTAAAAAATCCCAGTATGCCCTCTCTTTTCCATATTCCATAGAGAACTCTAGACACAGTTTTCTGTGATTTTATCTTTGTTTTGGAGGATGCTTCATCTGAGTCTGAAGCTTGAATGATAACTTTGCACCTATAAGCAGAAAGTGATCTTAGAAGGGCCCCTATTAACTTGGTTCACAAATCAAAATCAGTTACAAGAAACAATTAAATACCTAATAGCTGGATATGTTACACAGGTAGCGATGCTCTTTGAAATTGCACCTAAAAGAAAGGCCATAAATGCAGAAAGGGATGCTGGAGATGCTCCTTTATCAGTTTCGTTTTGTTTATTCTTCAGTGTTCGATGTTTCAGCTGATCAAACACTGTATACTGTAGCACATGGTAGTTCCAAATTAAGCTGAGGTCTTAGATCAAGTGTTTAAAATATACCTTAATTGAAAGCAAACACACAGGAAACGGAGTTCCAGATGATACAAAGACCAACCTGTATTGCAGGGTTTGAGGTCAGCAGCAAGGAAATACTGAGGCCATCAAATGCATCACTCCAGGATCCTTCTGTAAGAGTACTCAGCAGCCCTTTAGACTTTCCAAAGTCACTTGTCTGCATCCTTGAAGAGGCTGTATCCAGGGGCTACACAGTCATCAATGAGATAGGCTTTGTATTAAACTTGAAAAGTTTGATATGATACCTTGTCACTCATACACAACTTAGCAAAGAACGAACAGAAAATAATGTTTATATGTAGATAGTACCATAGAATAGACACCTATGATTTATATAAGCAGATCCATCATTAATAGTGGATGATTAAACAAAAATTGTAGTAGATTATGCATTAAAACTCAACAGTTATTTTTAATGTATAACGTGGTCAAATATATTCTATTCCAGAGATGCACTGGATTGTCTCCTTTTGGTTCCACATACATACTATGATTCACCAAAAATAGCAACAAACCACAAAGCATAACCATAAAAGACTTTATTCACAATTTTGTGGCATAAAATATAGCTGTACGAAGAAAATTTGGTATTAAAGTGTCCTACTCCATTTAAATTTTTGAATGCACAGTTAAAACGAGGAATAGCTGATGCCGCCTCACCTGAGTCACAATGGCAGTGCAAGCCCCAGCAGCAGCAGCAATAACCAAGTTTGCTTTTGTTCCAATAGATTTATAACCACTTTTTTGTAGATACAGTCTTTTAAAATAGCTGTATCCATAGAAGTAGACAAATTGGGAAAAGAAGGCTTGAAGATTCTTTGTTCCAAGGCCCTGGTAAAGTGAAAGCACCTGACGGTTAGATATTGCCTCCAAAAATACATCAGTGAGATTCCTGCAAAAGTAAAAACAATTAGAATGAAATTAAATATAAATACCCAAGAGACACATTCTGCTGGCCAATTTTTGATACACAACAGCCAAGAAGTAAGATCAATCAATCAACCATTCGCCCCACATACTCGGCTCAAGAAATTCTGATGCTACAATATGATACGTTGATGCAATTTGGCACACCACATGCAGAATAATATTATCATTTGTAAAATATAAATGCATCACACTTCCATGTTTAGTTCCTTTAGACAAACATAAAATGTAACGTCCATCAAAGGAAAAATCAACCCATTAAAACTGACTAAACCATTAAACGGGTCCTTGTAAGACTAGGGCATGTTTGATTCCCTTATTCTTTTTTGGTTTTCACAACTGTTTTCTAAAACAATTTCAAACTACTCAACAATCAATTTCTTGTCCAAAATCATTTTAAAAATCAAAAAACAGAAACAGCTGGAAGCAGTTTTCTCATCTTCTTTGTTTTCATCTTGCTCAACCTCTCCCTCTAGTCCAAACTCTGTTTAGTGGCTTGCCCCACCCTCCACCAGCAGTCTAAGCAACCTTGTTTAGTTGCATTTTGTAAACAAAAAATATTTTTGAAAATTAAAATCGAACACACCCTTAATTTTCCTCAATTCGGTCCCCCTACTTCTAATATCCATAATCGAATGCTTAAATGTTAAAAATAATCCAGAAGCTTTAAAACTTAAACAGAAGACTACTCAGACAACAAAAAACAATTTTTCGCCATAATATCAGGATCATCTAGTATTCCCAACAAATCACCATTGTTGGGTGACGCCCTAAAGGTTTTTTTTTTTTTTTGCCCAAAAAATTAATAAATGCAATCTGACAGACAAAACTATAATTAAAATAAACCCAAGGCAAAAATATCTTCTCTTCAAAATACACATGACACCAGAAATTCCCCAGAAGGACAGCATCAGAAAAAAAAAAAAAAAAAAAAGGTGCTTGCTCATGGTAGAAAGTACAAAGTCTCAATTCAAAACACGGACACACACAAAGCAATCATGATCACCGTCCACAACAGCAACAAATTGAAAATCAACGATAAATGAATGATAATAAGGGAAATCAAAATGATGGGCAGGGATGAAAATGAAGAAAAGAACCTATATCTTCTGTGACCATGGGAACGAGCCTCAGCCTGGTACTTGGTCTTGCACGTGTCGAGAGGGTACAAAATAGTGGTGCTGAGCAATGATCCAATGGCTCCGGAAGTGGCCTCAGCCAATGATTCGAGATCCACGTTCATCTTCTTCTTCTTCTTTCTTCTTTCTTCTTCCTTTTCAATTGGTGTGGCAAGGTGGTAGGTTGTGGGAGGGAGCTATATTAATTTTTATATATGTATATAATAATAATAATAATAATAATAATAATAATAATAATAATAATAAATTTATAATATATAGTTCAAGGGAGATAAAGGAAAAGGGGAAAGTGAATTGGGAAAAGACACGGAGACAAAGAAGGGTCATAGTTAAGAAACGATGGCACGAAACAGAGGAAAAGAAAACGTGAGAGTCGTGCTATCTGCCTTTTTAAGGAAGCAGGTCCGTCAACTTCCGCGTTATTGTGTGCGGTGCGTGGGTCAGGCTCTCTCTGTGTGTGTGCGTGTCACTGTGCCACTATTATCATTAGAGGGTTGAAAATTTTCGATTAATACTATTTTCATTATTAATTAAATAATATTATATTTATTAAATATATAACATTTAATTTTCATTAATGATGTTGGTGAATATAATGTGTTTACAAAGTTAAGTGAATTTAATGTATGTTTATTAATTATTATTAAATGTATGACTTTATATGTATACATATATATATATATATATAGGTAAAAGAAAAACTTAAAAATTATTATATAAAAAGAAACTATTAAAAAGTTAATAAAAAATATATATTAAAAATTCACTGTACTTATCATTGTTTAAAAATTAATTATAAAGCAAGTTCTTAAAGAAAAATTTTAAATGTATATTAATGAAGTGTACGTGAACTGGTGCATGTACAATTTTTTTTTTCTATAAAAAGAATTTATTTTTTTCCTGTAAAAAATGAATTGATGCATGTATGGTAGAATTGTCAAACTCTCTGGAACTTACCGAGCTAATCGAACTCATTCAATAAATTATATAAAAAAAATTGTGTAATATATTTTTGTTAATGATTATCTTTTATGTTAAAAGATTATAAGAATTAAAGAATCTTTAAAAAGTTTTTTTTTATAGATATTTTAAAAGATTTATTTGAACAGAAGTTTAATTTGATCCAAAAGAAAAAATATACATAAGATTTAATAACTGAGTCTCATACGTTCAATTTTAAATTTTTTTAGAGAAATAAGTTATATATAGAAACTCTTTGAAGTCTCTGCTCTTCTTTTATTCTTCTCTTTAGTGTGAATTTTTTTCTTAGAGATTTGATTAACATTGTTCGTAGACTCAAGTGTTTATAATCGTGAATCTAAGATGTGTTAAAATTAAACTTAAATTTTTTTATAAAACTATCATTTATATAACATAGAATTTATCATGTTAATTTCTAGAAATTATAAGTAAAAACATATTTGAACTCATGATGATAAATAAGAAGTATAATTTGGTTTTTCAAATAAACACGTACTCTCTTAAGAGAATTCTTTAGTTATTTTTTTGTCTTCTACTGATAATGGGATGTCATAAAAAAATATACTATAATTTAATTTGGAGACATAACCTATTTATAGATAATCGTAAGATTATCTTTTGGAATTTATATTTTTTACCCATCACAAGATAAAATTACCATTTAATTACCACACATTAAAGGTCTCATTCTTTTATATACATAACTAACCAAATAATTTATACGTCATTAGATCATTTTAATTTAGCACAACCTTATATATCTTTATTATATAATTATTCACATATAAGGCTAAAGTTGGATTAAGGATCCAACAATCTCCCCTTAAACTACACATGCGTAACCTTATAATTATATAATTATCAAATGTACTTTTTACCAATTTGATCCATCAATCATATCAACATAAGATCAAAGTAGTCTTTGTTACATATATTGTAACTAAACGCATCAATAATCACATATGTTAATACAAATGAATAACATGAATCATGATATGGATGTGTAGTATGAATTTTCATGTAATGTGATCTTAACATGCTTTATTTCAATAAATCTTTCTTAAACCTTAGTGAGATCAAACCATAACAAAACCTAATGTAGATTTCATACTTTATTGGCATCCAGGAAGTTGGAGTCAATATACTCAATGTTTTCAACTCAATTCAACCTCTGATATATGAGCATGTAATCTTTTGTTCTCTATAAGTATCGCATGACTTATTTAATTGTTTTTAATGATCCAATCCTAGATTACAAATATTTGCCTAACATCCCTATAACATACAAAATATTTAGATGCATACAAACCTAAGCATACATTGGACTTCCTACTGCTAATGCATAAGGAATCTTCTACGCTTCCTTTTCTTCAAAGTTATTTTTAGGACATTGATCGAGACTAAATTTGTCTCCTTTAGCCATGAGGGTTTTACATGGTTTACAATCTTGCATGTCATATCTCTTGAGTACTCTTTCAATATAACCTTTTTTAGACAACTCAAGAGTACCTCAAGAACGATCTTGATGTATCTGTATGCCCAATACAAATGATACACTGCCAAGATCTTTCATCTCAAAGTTTTTAGCTAGAAATCTCTTGGTTTCATGCAATAAATTTATACCATTGCTAGCAAGCAAAATATCATTAGCATACAAAATTAGAAAAATATATTTGTTCCCACAAAAATTATTATATATACAATCATCAACTAAATTCACTTCAAAATCACACGAAGTGATCACATGATGAAACTTGAAATACCACTATTAAGATGTTTGCTTGAGCCTATATATGGGTTTTTTATGTTTGCAAACTAAATTCTTTGAATCTTTTAAAACAAAGTTTTTCGGTTGCATTTTTGCAAACTAAAGTCTAATCAATATTACCATTGAGAAATATTATTTTTACATCCATTTGATGTAACTCAAGATCGTTATGCACCTTTAATGTCATTATAGTCCTGAAGAAACTAGAGAGAAAGTCTTTTTATAGTCAATGTCTTCCTTTTGTGTAAATCTCTTTGCGACAGGATGAGCCTTGAACCTCTCCCATCACCTTTTTAATCCCTTTTAGTCTTAAATATCCATTTGCAACCAATGCGTTTCACACCTTCTAGCAATGGAACACCTCATGGACTTAATCTCTTTATTCATGACATCAATCCACTTTTGAGAATTATAATTTTCTATGACTTGAAGAAAGTTAATTGAATCATCTTCCATCAATCCAATTCCAACCTCATTTTCTTGGAGAAATACAACATAGTCATTTGGTATTGCAACTCTCTTTTCTCTGGTGGATTTCCTTAATAACATAGGTTATTGAGGAGGAAGAGTTTGTTATTTTGGAACAATTTCTTACATAGGAGGTTAGACATTATCTTGATTTATTATGTCTTGAACAAAGTCATGAAGAGGATCATGAACAATGCCAATAACACTTGTGGGAATATCAACATATTCCTCTTAAAAGACCAAGTCCTTAACTATATATCCCCTTGCAATATTAATATCCTAAAAAAAATCAAGCATTTCCTAATTTGAAAATCGACTTAGTTGTAGGATCATAAAACTTGTACCCTTTGGACTTTTAGAGTATCCAACAAAATAACAACTTATAGTTCTTGAGTCCAATTTCATTTCATTTGGCCTGTAAGGCCTTGCTTCAACTCGACAACCCCAAATATGCAAGTGTTTTAATCTAGGCTTTTTGGCTATCCAAAATTCATAAAGAGTTTTTTTAGTTTCTTTTGTTGAAATCCTATTAAGGATATAGTTGCAATTTTAAGGGCTTATCCCTATAGTGACTTTGGTAAAGTATAATGATTAATCATACTCCTTCTTATGTCTTTAAGTATTCTATTTCATCTTTCAACAACATCATTCGTAGTGAACGATCTCGATGTAGTGTACTGTGGGAGTCCCACAGTGGGACGATACCACATTCCTCTAAGAATTTAGCAAATGGTCAAAGATGTTCTCCTAAACTATCATATCTACCATAATATTTGCCACCATGATCAGACTTGATGCTTTTAATTTTTTTATTGAGTTGATTCTCAACTCCAGCCTTATAATTTTTAAACACGTCTAATGACTTCGCTTTTTTGTGAATAAGATAAATAGAAGTATATCGTGAAAATTTTGTCTATGAATGTTATAAAATATTGTTGACCATTCCATGCTACTGTATGAAATGGTCCAAAAATATCAATATGTATAAGTTCTAAGACATCCAAAGTCCTTTTGGCCTCAAGTCTCCTTTTGTTGATTTGTTTCCCCTTTATACAATTGATACAAATATCAAAATCTATAAAATCTAAAGGGTTTGACACAAGCCTTTCTATTCTTTGTTTAGAAATGTGACTTAATAGTTTGTGCCATAACATAGTTGAATTCTCATTGGTTAATTTTCTCTTTATGCTTCAAGTATTGAATTGTAAAGATTCATTAAATGAAGCAATAGTGTCGATAAAATAAAGATTATCATAACCTAATAAAGAACTAGAACCAACCAATTTTGAATTATGAAACAAACTAAATTTTCCACTCCTAAATGAACAAGAATAATCAAATTTTCCCAAAAAATAAATAAAAATCAAGTTTTGTCTAAAAGACGGTACAATAAAAGTTTCACCAAGATCCAAATAAAAAATAATTCTTTAACAATAATCTAAATTTTTCATTTGTTTCAACTTGAATCGTCTTGTCGTCATCTATATAGATGTATCTTTCACCATCATTTGATTTTTGGCAACTCAAGCAACCTTGCATAAACACATTAATGTGAGTTGTTGCACCAAAATATATCCACCATGTATATCCAGGTACAAAAGTTAAATTAACCTCAAAACCAACCAAGTTGAGAAACACACCTTTTTAGCACGCCATGCGTGATAATTAGTGCAATGCTTATTCACATGCCCTACAACTCCGTAAAAGAAACAATCATTGCCTTCAAATTCATTTGATTTCTTATGTTGTTTCTTTTGAGGTGTTGTAACTACAACTTTCTTATCATTTTTCCTTTTCAGTCCTTTACCCTTATACTTTGAGGTAGAGGCAAGATGAACACTTTTTGTCTTATCTTGTTTTAATCTTTTCTCTACTTAAACATAATGTGAGATTAGCTCATTCATAGACCAAATCTCTTTTTGACAATTATAGCTCAACTTAAACTGGCCAAATTATGTTAGGATAGATAT